CAGGATTTTTGCAGCCGATACTGAGTACCGATTTCTTGTCATGGTGATCGGCCGATACCTATGCCGATTCTGATGCTTCAAGCTTTATATAGATGCCTGGCACGAAGTTAACTTCCAGTCTGTGTTTGTTTATCAGTCTGGCTATGGCACCGGCTACAAACGCACAACTCACAAAAGACTATTTTTATCCAAGCAGCGCAGAGAGCCGCGTCAGAAACGTGCCGCGGTTGGCTGATAAACACAACGTCATAGCATTTCCACACTGGCGATGACATGACTGCGGCACCAAATCATTTATGTCTAGAACCTCCTGCTGGCAGAGAATTAATTAGCATTTTCAGTAAGTCCATCTGATTTATGCAGCAAACTTATTTTGCTTTTCGTATATCCACAGGTGCTGTGGATAATCCGCGGGTTGGGTAATAAAAAATGCATTCTGATTATTTGCGGGTGGATAAAATAAATCATAGCCGATCGATCGGAGCATCCCTATAAAGCACATTATTCCAGATGGTATAACTAACAAGCAAGATGTGGGGGAAGTTTGCCAAACTTGGTGCTGTTTCGGCCGTGGGGTAACCTCAACATCTGTGTAGAGCCTTCCAAAAAATCTCAATGTTAGAGTGACTAAGGTTTCTTTTAATAAGATCCCTAATCATATCAGTCCGACCATCACAGTTTGTGCTGTACGTTTCATTGGTTAGTCAACCTGTCAATGTCATGCAGGCTTTCTACAGAGGTGGACCAACTATATTAGACCCGACAGAAAATCTTAAGTCTGGAATTAAACATCTCACAAATGCACACATCATTCAAAAATAAATGTAAAAATGAGACTCAGTAACAAATCATTTTAATCACAAAACACTAAATTATAAGATGATGCTATAAAACCTTGACTAAAATTATCGAAGAAAATAAAAATATATGATAAACTTTGTAATAGTTATTTTATTTATTGGCTTTCTAATACAATAACTCCGTAAAACATTAGCAAAAAGACAGAAAAACAGCATGTGTCCCAGTCTGACCCTAAGAATCGTCACACACATATAAACATACGAGTTTTTGTATAATCTGGGCCTCCCTCCAGTACAACTGCAGGTGGTCTCAAGATTTAATTAGACATTTACATGTCAGCCTGTGAGACAACTGGGAAGCTTGTAGATATATAGCCTCTCACTGCATAGCTCTAATTGGCATCGGGCTGTCATTTTAGCGTGGTTCCCACTTTCTGTCCGTGTCTTTGGACGCAGGAGAAATTTGAACCTTTACACTCTAAAACTGGAAATAAAGAAAACCTCACAAGTAATGCTGTTGTCAAGTAGCCATATCCGGCTCCCACAAGGCCTATGTAGTGCAGTTCAGTCCATATCCAAACAGTCTATAGGCATCTTACACAACAGTAGCCCATCTGAGAAAGTCAACTAGGTTGAAGCAGCAGTAGAGACAGGGAGGAAACTCACTGGAAATGATCACGCTTGCCTCTTGTCCAGAGTATATTTCTCTGTTCAAAGCATAAAGCACATACTGAAGTGCTGCTCGGCTAAGTCTGAAGCTGTCAAGCATCACCCAGCTAAACAGATGAATTATAGAGGGAGGATGAATACAGCATGTGATCACACTGTCACTGTAATGCAGAGGGAGTCTCAAGGGCTGGTCAGAAGTTTGGTGACAGCTGATTCAGGAAAAACGCAGTGATGTCATGATGTGAATTCAGAAGGTTGTTAATGGTCATTTACAGCGTGTGGACAAATGAACGAGTGACTAACTGATTGACTCGGTGAGGAAGCCTTTCAAAGGCTCACAATCATGTTGGTTGGGTCCAATCACTTCACAAAACTCCAGATGACGTATATAAACAAATATACCAGACAAGTAAAAAGAACAAACAGTGTCAGTACAGTAGGCCTAATCTAGTGACTTCATGCCGACTGAGAAATTTGCCAGCTATGACTGAGAGTGACATAGTGTCATGGAAAATCAGCCTTATGAATATTTGCATTGTTTGATGAGCAAACAAAAACCAAAATGACAATGAAAATAAAACTGTACTGAATTTTAAGTATATTAATTTGGAAGTATAATTAATAAAAACATACAAAATAACATACAAAATAATAATAATCAAAAAATATTTTTTGTTTAAGCCTAATCACCAGGATACTGTAAACTGATGAATTCGGAAAATAGCATATGATGATAATAATAATAATAATAATAACAATAATAACAACAACAACAACAATAATAACAATTTTTATCGTCATCATCAACACCACCAGTATATCATCGTTATAACAAGGACAACAATAAAACAAAAGCAAAAACAACAACAAACGTATAATAAATGTTCACTACTGTTAGCTCAACATTAACTAAACTAAATGTTTTTATTCTTTCTGAGCAAACTAGTCCAAATAGTGTTGTCACGACAAAACACCATAAATAGCCTAATTAAATTTTCCTTAAAAAGCCCTTAGGAGTAGGCTAATTTAAGTCAAAATGTATTTTTTTGATACAAAGTTACTAGCAAGCTAGTTATGTAGCCTATACAAAGTGTCGTCAACTGCCCCATTACAGCCTAGCCCTCAGGAACTGTCACTGATACAGTAATGACAGATATTTATCTTAGTTTTACAGTCGTCAACCGCAAGGAAACTATGATATGAGGTGTGATGAGATGTGATAGTTTCGTGCATCAGCACATGAGCCTCCATGAGACGTGCTGCAGCGGCTGCAGAGACTCACCTAACTTTTGCGGCAACAGAAGAAATCGCATCATTCCTTAAATTCTTCTTCTTGGACACAGCAGTTCCCATGCTGCAGTGAAACCAGTGTGTAAAAGCAGCTCATTCCATTCTTCACATCTGCAATGGGGGAAAGACATGCACAATGCAAACAAATCATCAGCAGAGTAGAGATACGATCTCCTCCTCTTTCTTCTCACTGATTCAAACTGCTGCTCAGGGTCTGTGTCAGATGTTCCGTTTGCTCCTCGTGTTTAGGAACGCGACGTCCAGCTGAATTTCACTACGTGAAGTTTATGGTCTTTAGTGAGCGGAGTTTGAGCTAGTACGGCAATTAGGGATGGGCGTATCGATCCTAAGTATCGATATATCGATACTGACGCGAGTATCGAAAGTATCGATACTCAAACTAAAAATATCGATACTAAGGTGTGTTTTATTTGCAATGTGAAGAAAGGTGCGCTGCTAGTACGTCAGAATGTGCTCACGCGCAGCGCACTTGCACTCTCTCTCTCTCTTTCTCCTCAGTTTCTCATATTGATCTAGAATCTAGATAAAACGACAGTGGACATTAAGGAAACTAGTGCCATATAAGGGAGAAGTGGCTCAGCTTGTCATTTGGAGTCAGCTTAAAAGTGGACAAAAGAAACGAACTACGGGTACAGTGTGTTTATTTATGAAAGTCAGTTTCTGTATAGGCACATGGTATATCTTAAAATTTTGTATACAAAAAAACACATTTGGCGTCAGCTTAAAAGTGGACAAAAGAAACGAACTACGGGTAGGCCTACAGTGTGTTTATTTATGAAAGCCAGTTTCTGTATAGGCACATGGTATAGCTTACAATTTTGTACACACACACACACACACACACAAAACATACACTGGACATTTGCACCAGCGGCCTGTATTGCCCAAGAAAAAGATGCAGTTCATTAAACACAATTGACCCCAATAGCCATTGTGGGATTTTTAACAGAATTTAAGCAATTTGTAAAACAGCAAAAATGTAAAAGGTAAAAAAAAAATAAAAAAAAGTACTAATCCATTTTCCGACCAGCAGATAGGCTATTGTAAATAATAAAATGTGTAAAATTAGCAAAACATTTAAATCATACAACTTTCCTCAATAAATGACTATTTACCCCAACCTAGCAACTGTAAAAAAATAGTCATGACAGACAGTTAAAATTTACACTGAAAAAGGTGCTGGTGTTGGGTTTACCTTGAAACTAAAAATTGCTAGCAAATTTCACAAAAGAAATTGACAAAGAAACAGCAAATAACACATTAAACTTAATGTGAATATTTAAACAGAAAGTCTGAAACAGTACTTTCTTGTAAAAACTACTCAGATAATCCTTTTTTACAACTTTGAAAATATAGCGGCAAATGAACCGGAAGTCTTGCCCATAGGCTTACTTCCGCGTTGAAGAAAAAGGTGGATAAAAAGGTGGAGATGGTTCTTTAAAGAACCTTTGACTGAATGGTTCTTTGTGGAACCAAAAATGGTTCTTCTATGGTACCGCTGTGACGGAACCGACAAGTAAGACAGCTATTTGTTCTTGTTTATTTGTATAATCCTGATAACAGTGTAAAAGCCTGTCCTTCTTCTTCTTCACATTTCGGAAATAAAGAGCATAAGAACCCAGAGCTCCACTTGATGTCCATATCCCAAAAATCAGCCCCTTTTGGCCCTTCTGTCCAAGCTTCGCCCATCGCTGTGGATACAGCACCTGCAGGTACCTTTGCACACTCAACAAGGTGACAGAAAGCACACTACTGTAGAGGCTCCAGTAGACTACATAGGAAAATAACTTACACAGACCATGGCCAAAAACCCAGCCTTTCAGGAGGGCATAGATCCACACAGGCGCTGTGACGGAACCTTTTAAGAATCTTTATTTTTAAGAGTGTAGTCACAGTTCAAAAGCAAATAATTAATATTAGACTCAGAAAAGCTTTTGCTTTACAGCTTACTCAGTTTCATTCTGATGTTTAAGAATCTTTATTTTTAAGAGTGTAGGCACAGTTCAAAAGCAAATAATTAATATTAGACTCAGAAAAGCTTTTGCTTTACAGCTTACTCAGTTTCATTCTGATGTTGTTGTGGCTCGTCTGAATGCTGTTTTCTTCTGCATTGCAGCATTCGAGCTGAAAAAGCATGAAGAAAGGGGTTCACACAACTGTTGATAAAGAAAAGAGCCCCGGTTACATTGTTGCTGACATCTGATTCCCATGACACTGCCATTAAGACCAAGTTGTTGACCATACAGGGGGTGCTGAATATGAAGAAGGCCACTACGATTCTGACAGCCAGTTTTGTCAGCCTGTGACTTTTGAAGGAAGCTGACTGACTTATCCGTTGATGAAGTTGAAGGTAGAAGAACAACAGGCTGAAGAGAGGCACAACAAACATCACTAGATTCTCGACAAGTAAGACAAATAGTTTTTCTTGATTATTTCTATAATCCTGATGACACTCTAGAAGCCTGTCCTTCTTCTGCTTCACGTTTCGGAAATAAAGAGCATAAGAACCCAGAGCTCCACTTGATGTCCATATCCCAAAAATCAGCCCCTTTTGGCCCTTCTGTCCAAGCTTCGCCCATCGCTGTGGATACAGCACCTGCAGGTACCTTTGCACACTCAACAAGGTGACAGAAAGCACACTACTGTAGAGGCTCCAGTAGACTACATAGGAAAATAACTTACACAGACCATGGCCAAAAACCCAGCCTTTCAGGAGGGCATAGATCCACACAGGCAGAGAAATCAGACTCAATAGATCCGAGACAGCCAGACTCAGCATCAGTTTTGGGGTAAAACTGCCCTCCTTTAAATGTTGGGTGAGCATGACCAGCACCGCCATATTACCTGGTACACCCAGAGCACAGCACAATCCCAGAACAGTGCTGGATACAAGCTCCTCCACTGAGGTACGGGCAAACAGAGAGCTGTTAGAAAAGTTCTGGTACTCCATGGTCATCTGCCAGTTGCTGATGTGAATATGAAGATTGAGGTTTGTTCAGTAATAGTGAGGAAGTAGTTTCAGGAAGTGAACTTTAATCACAATTGTCGTCATGTGGAAAGATTTGCAAAAGTGTGAAAAAAAAAACAGTGCAGTTAAAAGTAAATGATTTGCATAGTTTTTTTTAAAAATGTCAATCTGGCAATATAAGGCTGTGCATGAATGCAGTGTTTGTTTTCATTTAAATAGCATTTCCTTCTAAAAATGTTAATGTATTAAAGTAATGTGTGTTTATAAGCTGTTAGCATGCTTGTTGTGGTTGAAGCTGTAACCTGACTGACCTTACACACAGAACACATTTCCTGTGGTAAGCAGCCACAGTAGCATATCTATGCACCCCCACATTCTGGAAATATCATTTCAACCAGAAAAGCCAAGAAACTAAAGATGCACAATATATCAGGTCAATATCGCCCATCATTAGTTATGAGTTATCAGATTAATTTTGCCATCACATAACAGCTAATTTTAACAGATGTGATTCTGTGATTGTGTAAAAGCATATAAAACAAAATAACATGCTTGTATATTTTGTTTCATTAGCATTATGTCTACAGTATTATAATTATGCAGTAGTTCCCCTTATGTAGTGCTTGTGCATGTCCCCCTTTTATGCTATGTATTACTGTTTGTGTGTTTTGTATTTAGATTTTCAGACATGAGTCGGCTTATCAGAGTGATAATATCCATAAATGAATCTGAATAAACTGTCTACAAAAGCAAAGGCAATGTCAATAACTGCTCATTTTAACGGCCTGTGTCTTCATGTTTTTACAAAACAATGACCTTCAACCTAATGTAAGCCTTATTCTTAAACGGCACACATCAATCCAAGGCCGTGGGGAAAAAAATGGTAAGAAATAAAATTTTGAACTGAGTTATCAGATTAATTTTGCCATCACATAACAGCTCATTTTAACAGATGTGATTGTGTAAAAGTATATAAAACAAAATAACATGCTTGTATATTTTGTTTCATTAGCATTATGTCTACAGTATTATAATTATGCAGTAGTTCCCCTTATGTAGTGCTTGTGCATGTCCCCCTTTTATGCTATGTATTACTGTTTGTGTGTTTTGTATTTAGATTTTCAGACATGAGTCGGCTTATCAGAGTGATAATATCCATAAATGAATCTGAATAAACTGTCTACAAAAGCAAAGGCAATGTCAATAACTGCTCATTTTAACGGCCTGTGTCTTCATGTTTTTACAAAACAATGACCTTCAACCTAATGTAAGCCTTATTCTTAAACGGCACACATCAATCCAAGGCCGTGGGGAAAAAAATGGTAAGAAATAAAATTTTGAACCTCTGGATGGGTTCTGTTCTGAGGTCAGGACAATGCTAAGATACAGTATATTCATGCAGAATTGCTTCCGCTGTTTCCTGCATTGTGCACAAGTGTAGTCTATACATCATGCTAATACATCCATCCAGAAGGCTGATGCAGTGATCTGATAGCTCCCTCTAGCACACAGAGAGCTGGAATCACTGGGAATGCAAAACAGGAACGTTCATCACCTTCTCTATAGGAGTACTGACTTATTTATTGCCTCAGATGATTTCATACATAAATGTGCCAGAGGACATTTCTAAGGCAGCGACTAACCACTTCACCTTCACTGATGCAGGAACTGGCATGACTGCTGTAGAAATAATTGTAGGGTATGGAGGAATATCATGTATGATATAGGCCTAAGTATGTTTTAACTATAGATTGCACAATATGCATAAGGAATACAGTTTATAAAAACGTTCCATAAAAAAAGAAAAATAAATAATAGCTTGAAATAACTGACAGTGAACCATTTCCCCCCTTTTTTGTTTACTATTCTTCTTTAAAGAAAGAAACTATTTGAAATGAAACTCAGCAGAATATGTGGTACTTTGTGAGTCTCTTCATTTTATTACTTTTTTTTGTGATCAAGTGTTTAATAATATTAATGATAATGCTATGATAATAATATAAATGATAATTTAGCAGTATAATTTGAGTTAAAAGGAACACATTTGAGGGTTTTGGTACATAAAATGTTGTGTGTGTGTGTGTGATTTACCACCCACATTATTTATTATTTATAATTTTATTTAATTTTTTTCTATTCATGTCTTCATCTGCTTCCTGTTTGGATGCTACCCAATTATTTGTCATTAAAATATGAATTTCAAAAACCTTCTCTTTTTTGCCATTTTTAGACTTAATAAAAATACTTAATAAAAATACAGTACATACAGTATTTAAATTTAGATCGGTGACGCTGATGCAAACACTCCACTTTGATGTGACTTGCAGCCCA